TGGGGGAGGCAGGTCGGAGCTTTCATCACCTATACCCCCCTTATATATGCTTAAAATTAAAAAACCCAAGTTGCCCGAGTAGACAGTTCTACGTCAGACCATCAGAAGGGCCTTTTCTCACCAGATATTAGCCGAAATCACAACTCCAAATTGCGAGTTGTGACAATATGCTTGATTAATAGAAGGAACATTGGATTTCAAGAGAATTTGTCTTCTAGCTTGATCGTAAGAATCATTTAAACCACTAAGGAACTGTAATAGCCTTTGATGTTGAAGATGTTCGACGTAATCCTTCGAATTTGGAACAGGCACTAAGGCATCATATTCATTCCAAAGACTCTGCTCATGCGATTCACCTTGTCAAATCGCTCTCTCAAATCCTCCCACACAAGATGTGCATTAGAAGCATATGCAATTCCACTGAGGAGTTCTGTGGACACCGTGTTCATCAGCCACGAAAGGACAATCGCAGTACAAGTTTCCCATTGCTCATGCAACTCTGCCTTACATGACTCCTTTGTCAGGTGCATGTTAAAAAACCCTAACTTCCTCTTCCCTAAAAAGGCAATCTTCATCGTCCTGCTCCAAAGCCTGTAGTTCTCAGATCCTGTAAGCTTTTACGGGGATTAGAATAACGCCTGGAGTATCCGATGCACCAAGGTATAGTGGATGTATGTGCGAAATTGTTGATTCTGCCATTGACAAACTGAAAAAACAGGAAATAAAGGCGATCTGCGGAATCGATGAAATCTGAAGAAGAAACTTAATTCGCGTATAGTACCAGCATTACCTGCTCTGATACCATGCTTAAATATACGACAATCAGTGAGCAAGAGCATGAGCTTCAAAGCTCTCTAATGGCGGAAGCTTCGAGAAGAAGAAATGAGGAATGTGTGAGATGAAAATGATAACCACCAACTTGATTATACACAGCTAAGAGCTTATATACAAAAGCCAAGCTAAGCTACCTGTCTCCTAACAAACTGACTAACCCAACTAACTAACTTATACGTATCTGTCACATGAGAATTAGTCACCACCAATGAAGCATTGCCATGTATACACTCTATATGAGACCACAACTCACAATAACACTATAACTATTTGGATAGTCGAATAGTTTCTTATTGTAATTTTATAACATTTTTTACTATTCTTAGTTACAAAAATTGTAACTTATAGTACTCCTTCGGTTTCAATTTAATATGATGATGTTTGACTGTCCGTCAAGTTTAAGAAAAAAAGTAGTAAAACTTTTGAAATTTGTGATTTAAAACAAGCTCTAGAAAGAAATTCATGTGGCTCTAAATCATCTCATTAAGGGTAAAATGAGAAATTTAAAGTTAAATTGTTTCGGACAAACTAAAAAGTAAAGAGCGTCGCATAAATTAGGACATGAAGTAACATTTTAAAATACTTTTTAATACAAATAACTTAAAAATACTATTCTACTATTGAGCAGTCTTTGAATGTGGAGATTTTATTTTACAAAACAAAGGAATTGATGTTCAAATTGAGATAAAATTGAATGGTTTGACCCTTGTACTATGATATCCGTTATTGTTTTTGAAATGGAGTATATGTTGTTAACATTTTTCTTTAAAATTTCTATATACATATATTCAAACAATAGATAATGAGTGACGTGCAATCACTGCTTATATGTTGGATGTTGTGATTAATTATTTTTCTTTTCCCCTTATTTGGGAGAGACATTCTGCAGTTATATAAGCATTAATAACAGCTCCAACTTTGAAGTTAGAGATGTTACCATCAAGGTGATTTGCTCCCTTAGCTGATTACTATGAGAAGCTACTGTAAATAGTGATAGAGATGCTGTGGATTATTCAACCTGTTGATAACCAAGATCCTTACTATTTCATCTGGGGCATAAATTTGTAAGGTGGCAAGGCTGAATACGTGCTCTTTGGCAAAAGTATTAAATGAAGTTTGGTGCTGTACGTTAGCCGGGGGTTTACTTCTCTATCCTACAAAATAAAATTGATAAAAAAAGTTTTTTCCTTGGTTTACCCTGTTTGAGTGCTTACTGCATTTTAGTGCGCAAGTATGATCAACTGTTCAAAAAACTACACAAATATAACCAAATAGTTTTTCTACTTAGTGAATTGTCTGCAAGAAGGTTGTGCTTCTGGTAAAACCTGAATTAACCGTGGTGCACTTGCGGGAAACTCCTTGCCGAGGGCCTATGCACCCCCGGGATTAGTCGGGGCTCAAAGAGACTCGGACACCCGGTGCAAAATCAAAAAAAAGGTTGTGCTTCTGGTGTAGAAAATTTCATTGGAAAAATAGTAAATGGAGAATAGTAGTGTCATCGCAATCTTCTGGTCATAGAGTTGCATTTTCCATATTTAGGAATGCGCACACATAGAGGACATTCTTGACTAAGTAGATATATAGACAAAACAGGCTATTGCATTTTGTATATGTGTGGCCTTTATGCTCTTGTATTGATCATTTTGGCTAAACTAAGCTACTTATTGAAAGCCGTTAGTCAAGCTTTCACATTTTTGGAAAGAATGGTCCAAATGTATCTTACATCGACCGTCAAAATGTATCTTACACCGACCGTCAAAATGTATCTTACACTGAAGAAAATGAATTTGCTCAATGGGCATATTTGAGTCTGTGTGAGTGTACGGACAATGGAATGTCTCTTAAGCATGGCTTATGAAACTTAAGTTTCTATTATTTGATATGCTGCAATTTTGCTACCGTGTGTCTGGTATAAAGTGCTTTCGTAGGTAATTGTCAAGTGATTATAAAAAGCCTAGGAATCGTTTAGTGAAAAGGGTGAGATAAATATCTACCTGGAGAATTTAGACCTCAAGCATCTCTGATTGAGAGTCAAGTTACAGGGATCTTATTTTTCATAATATCAGTTTTGTAAGCTGCTAGAAACTTTCTAACCTTTTGAATTCTTATCTCTTGGCTCTACGAACTGCTTTATAGAAATGATTTAATTTTCTACAGGCAGAAATCCAAACAGAGAGGCAGAGGATACTTCTTTTAGATACTTCTAAATCACCTGTGGAATCAATACGTGCTGGAGGGAGATATGACTTCATTGTGGAACATGATGTGAAAGAACTTGGTGCACACACGTAAGATTCATGATAAAATTTGTGTTCTATGTTGATAGGAACCTTATATCAATATGATAGTTCACTTATTCAATTGCTTCACCTTTTAGGTTGGTATGCACTGCTCTTTATAGCGACAATGATGGTGAGCGTAAATATCTTCCACAATATTTCAAATTTATGGTCGCGAACCCACTTTCTGTTAGAACAAAGGTACATCCATAAACCTGTGTTGTTTTAGCAATTTTATTTTGATAGGATTCTATATGCTTTACATCCTATGCATTGGGAGCAGTTCTTTACTATATTTTTCTGCTATTCTAAGATATTTCATATTTGCTTCTTTATTATCGATTTATTTCTCAAGTCTGGACGTGCTTTTTCAAGATAATAACTGTTGTTTGTTTCTGCAGGTTCGTGTTGTTAAGGTAGGCTGGTTCAAGCTCCTTGGGTGTAAGTTCATTATCTTGCGTTCTTACTGGTAGGCTGAATATCTTAGGAAAATAGGTCAAGAAAAGTCAGTTTTGCAGTTATTATTTCAATTTCAATCATTGGGATGTCTCAGTTAAGGCCAATTTGTGATAACATAGCATCTAACTTACCACTTTCATAAATCTGCAACATACTGCCACCAATCTCATTTGCTTATATGGAATGTCAGTTATTTCTACTCATTTGGGCAGTTTTCTGTCCCTAAAAGGATAATGTGAGATCGCATTTGATTTTTAATATTACAAACCATCTTGTCTCTTGAGAATGATCTACCAGAAGCAGCAATATCAGCTTCTGCATTTCTAATACTTTTCCTGTTCATGACAGTAAAGTCTTTTTCCATCCCAGGAAACTACCTTTTTGGAGGCTAGCATAGAGAATCATACAAAATCTAATCTCTATATGGACCAAGTTGATTTTGAGCCAGCTCAGCATTGGAGTGCTACAGTACTAAGAGGCGTTGATCATCAACCAGAGAGCAAACAGCCAATGAGGTTGACTAATAGATTTTTTCTCTTTTACAATGGGAATTGCTGCTTTATTTTGGTTTTAAATGTTGATGTAATCACCAGTTGGTGTTAGCATTCACCTTTGTTCCCTTGACTAGCCTTTGCTGATAATTTTTGATCTACCAGTGATGTGTTTAAGCCCCCTGTTCTCTTAAGATCTGGAGGCGGGGTCCATAATTTCCTCTACCAATTGAAATTATCATCCGATGGCTCTTCATTGCCGAAGGTGGAGGGAAGTAATGTCTTGGGCAAACTCCAGATTACTTGGCGCACAAATTTGGGAGAACCTGGACGCCTTCAGACACAACAAATTCTTGGAAGTGTAAGTCAAATGATTTCTAGTGATGAATTTTTATGAGCTCTTAAGGTATTTGTTTCTTACCTTGCAGCCTATTGCTCATAAAGACATTGAGCTAAGAGCAGTGGAAGTGCCATCCATTATCATTCTGGAGAAACCTTTCGTAGTAAGTCCGCATTTACATTACTATAGCGCATTTCTCTTTACACAGTGTGTTAATTGCTGCTTAAACTAGTGGATTTGGGATTATTACACAAGTCCTTTTATCTACAGTATTGGTGAGGAAGTTTGTCCATTTGAATTGAATTTGCTTCTTTTCTGTCTTCCGCTTGCGATTTGTCTGTCATGAAACTGGATGTCTTTGTGGGCACTTCTGTAGGTACGGTTGAATCTCGCAAACCAGACAGACAGGTTGCTGGGCCCTTTTGAAGTTTGGGTGTCACAAAGTGAATCACTCGATGAGAAGGCTGTTATGGTTAATGGTCTTCTAACAACGGTGAGACACTGAAATGGCTTCTGCACGAGATGATGAGCTTAAACCTCTCCTACAATTGATGAATTCCCTTCTTTTTATTGAAGCTCTTGTTTGGTGCATGCGTTTTTGTTCTGTTACTAATTGTCATACTCATTCATAGCACTGTGATTGTGTCATATTGTTAATCATGCACTTTGATGTGCAAGTTCTCTATCATAATTTCTACTTCATCTACGAGTATACTTTCAGCTAACTCTGTCTTCCTTGAACAGCATTTGGCGCAGGTGGAAGCATTTAGCTCTTCAGAATTCCAGTTGGTGAGGATAATCTTCTATTTAATATTATAAAATGGATAGCTCAAATGCACGTTTTATTGGATATATTATTTTAGTCATTGGTGACTGATGTCGTTGAACTGCTGATAACAATGTTCTATATCCTGATAGCTTCAAGAGTAAAGTTTTTTTTTTTTTGATAAAGTAAGCTGTTTCATAGATTGGCATCAAGAAGATGCAGAGATTACAAAAGTAGATATGCTAGCTCCATAACAAAATCTAGCTTCAAGAGATAGTTATGTTAATTGCAATTGTTTATTTGATTATTCAGTTGTTTAACATCATAAAAATGAATTTTGGTGCACTTTCCCTTGTAGAACCTGATTGCTGTGAAGCATGGGGTACAGAAAATCACAGGCATTACAGTGTTTGACACGCGTGAGAAGAAAACATATGATTCTTTGCTGGAGTTGGAGGTTAGTTTCAGTTTCAGCTCACAGAACAGTTGATATGGAGGATAATGTTTCTTTTCAATTTCATTCTCTTTCAGTTACTCCATTTTCTTATTGTAGAACGTGGTTGCACCCTTCTAAGACTTGATTGTCCACACATCTTCTTTGGTGACATCTTCTTTGGTTTAATTGTTGACCTATCTTCAGTACAGATCCAGATCACTGTATATTCTCATGCCATGCCACATGGCGTTGATAAGAACTGTTTTTCTACCGGCAAATATGTTGCTAAAATCCGAAGCAGGGGTGGATGTAGAGAGGAAGATACGGGTTCATCTGATAGCTTTGGCTCGAATGTGGTATATATGTAAAAAAATTGCTTAATAAGTACAAATGATTGATTACGAACCTAGTAAATCAATGAGTTGTGGTAGAATCCCGAACTAGATCCACCTGTGATCTGAAGTATGAGATGGCCTCAAATTGATCAATGACCACATCCTTAACTATTCATCCTTCTTTTGCACTCCAAAAATAGCAGCCCAAAAATAGAACTCACTGAATACATGCACAGGAATCTGTTGTCATATACATGTTCGAAAAACTTTTCAAAATTCTGGATGTCATCTTACGCCATAACCTTGTATTATAGTTTTCATTTACCTCTTTGTTTTAACATTGTGTTATGGAGTAAGTGCATAGAATTTTGTTCGTCATGATGCTGCAGGTATTTGTCGATTCACAGTAGGTACTTGAGCCAGATGTGGTTGCAAAATAATAGGAAGACCGATTTGATTGAGGTTGGAGTTTCTGTTGGTTGAGAGGTTTTACAACTCGGAACGTCAAAGTAGAGATCTAACCAGTTCATTGTTAAAGGAATTCTCGTCGTGCCAAACAGATGACAAGGATACTTGACTGTTGAATGGCCCCAATGGATCTTAGCATTCATCCAGAAGATCTTAAAATGATGTAATATGTGTTTTTCTCGATCAATCGGCAGTGTACACTAGCTAGGCACATGTTATTTTCTTAGTATATAGTTTTGTGCCTGTCGTACTCTACCAATGTGCTACAATTTATGATGAAGATCATTTTTCTTTGGTCTTGCTTGTGTTCATGTTCTTGTGTTGATTAGCAGTTTTAACGTCGCTTTGTTGGCTATATTAAAAATGAACAGAGGTTGAGAATGGTTGTGAGTTACCACTCCTTTCTCCTTTACACTCCTTTACAAGGGGTTTGTTATTCTGAGTCTTAGGAAGAGAATAAGGGCTCGTTTGGTACGAGGGATAAGGGGTAATTAATCGCGGGATTAAATTTGAGATGAGTTTATTCCACGTTTGGTTGGGATAAAATAATGGTATTTTGGAGTAGTTACCTCAGGATTGTAGTATTTTTTTATATGTATGGGAGGATGGAATAACAATCCGACGATAATTAATCCTGGAATAACTTATTCTCAATCAAACGATTCCAAAGAGATGTTCCTTAACCCTATTTGGTAAAGCTCGAGATAGACTGCAGAAAAAGGTTACAACGTCGGCAATATAATTAATTTTTCAAAGATGGTAAGTAGGGATGGGCATAGTTCGGGCAAATCCGAAATCCGATTTTTTGGATTTCTGATTTAGATTTTCAGATTACAGATTGAATTTTCAATTTAAAAATTTTGGATTTCGGATTTGTTACTTCGGATTTTTGGATATCCGAAAATTTGAAATTTTTATACTTTATATTTAGTCCATTATCCATATGTCAATAGTAATAAGTTCAATAACCTACCCATTAGATATTATCTCATATATTCAATATTAATTACTAAGTTACTGTCAGAATACTTTCTATTTCGTCATGATTATACTATTGCTACTTCGTATCGTCTGTATTAATGTCTCTGTTGTATTTATTTTTTTGGATAATAATTTAATTACTTGAATACTTTATTTGGATGATTGCGGCAAGAATGGGAAGCTTTTCAGGCAATTTAACATGAGTACTTCATTTGGATATTCATTGTTGTAAAAAAGTAGAAACATTTCAACTTATACGATCAAAACCGAAAATCCATAATATCCAAACTGATTAATTCAAAACCGAATTTAAAAAATCCGATCAAATCTGAACTTATTTGGATTGGATTTAGATTGTCATTTCTTCAATCCGAAAATAAAAAATCCAAACCGAAATTCACATATCCAATCCGAAAGGCCTTTGAACACCCGCCCCTAGTGATAAAGCTATTTGAACGCCCACCCATGGGTATGTTGTTGTTGTTGTGATTTTTTATTTCAACTCCATTATATTTTTGAAAAAATTACATCAATAAAGGTAAGATGGGAAGGACTTATTAATTTAACTCCAGATGTTAATTATTAAACACTAAAAGAATCTTTTATACGCAATATTAAATTGCTTATAAAATTATATATTACGAATTTACATAGACTTCACCTTTATCCATTGACCATAAAATGCCATATATTACGAAATTTATTGGTCTGGTGAATTCACGGATCAGATGTAAGTTTTTACATTTCTCTAGATTTGATGGCTCATTCAAAATTTTATTGACAAAACATGCAATACTTCTTTGTTAAATATTACTTAGTATTATACCATGTTTGGCTAAGATGAAAAAATCAACTTATTTTGAAAAGTGTTTTTTCTCAAAAATACTTTTGAAAAAAAGTACTTTTAAAGAGAAGCAGATTGTGTTTGGCTAATCATTCTGAAAAGCACTTTTGAGCAATAATTTGTGTTTGGCCAAACTTTTCAGAAAGTGCTTTTAAGTATCAAATTACGAATAAGAACATGAATAGATTTACTTAATAGTTAATATTATAAATAAATAAAGAATCTTAAGAATTTGTTATTACAAGCAATAATTAAATCTTTTCATTTTATTTAAGTAAAATATGAAAATAAAATTTAAAAGTACTTAATTCTTTTAATATAAGTTAAATATATTAAAAATCATTCAACAAATATAAAAGCATTCACCCCTAAAGTCACTATATATTAGAAAGCTATCCTAAAAATAATAAGAAATATTTATACATTAATATCCTAAGTATTAGGTTTAACAGTTATTTTGATATATACTATATTTTGTTAAGGGTATTTTTGGTAAGAAGAAAAGTCAAAACTGCTTCTGCTTCTACTTATGGGAAGAAGCTACTTTTTTTTACTTCTCAGAAACTGCTTCTACTTCTTCCCAAAAGCATTTTTTTCACCAAAAAAAGCTTGGTCAAACACCTCAAGTTAGGGGAAAAAAGTGCTTTTGAGGAAAAAGAAAAAAAAATATTTTGGACCTCTTGAGAAGCTTGGCCAAACAGTTTAATAGCCTGTTTGGCCAAGCTTCTAAAATCTGCTTATTTTGAGAAGTGTTTTTTTCAAAAGTGCTTTTCAAAAAAGTACTTTTGGTGAGAATCGGTTTGTGTTTGGCTAATTAATTTGAAAAGCATTTTTGAGCAGTAATTAGTATTTGGCCAAGCTTTTGAAAACTGCTTCTAAGTATATTTTTCTCAAAAGTACTTCTCAGAAAAGTGTTTTTGGAGAGAAGCTACATTTTTTTGCTTCTCAAAAATTGTTCCTGCTTCTCCTCAAAAGTATTTTTTTCCTTCTAAAAGCTTGGCCAAACACCTCAATTTTTGGCCGAAATCACTTTTGGCCAAAAAAAGCACTTTTGGCCCAAAAAAAAGCTTAGGCCAAACATGCTATAAGAGCCCGTTTGGCCAAGCTGCCAAAATCTGCTTATTTTGAAAAGTACTTTTTTTCAAAAGTACTTTTTTAGAAGTACTTTTGAAGAAAAAAAACTATTTGTGTTTGGCCAATTCATTTAAGAAGTATTTTTTGCAACATTTGGTAAACAAATTGTGTTTGGCCAATTCATTTAAGAAGTATTTTTTGCAACATTTGGTAAACAAATTGTGTTTGGCCAATCTTTTTAAAAAGTACTTTTGAGTGTCAAATTACCAAAAAGGATAGTACCAAAGTCTTATAATTCTTTTAAATAGAAAAATGAACTTAAATATTTATCGTAAGAGACTTTTATTATTATTTTATTTTATTTAATTAAAATATAAAATATAAAGTAAACAAACATATTATAGATTTAAATCAATTTTAATATATAGTTATACCAAAGCATATGATATTATCTAGTATAATTACTTATTGTTATATGATGATTTGAATAACTAAAATACATCATTCAGTTTTGGCTGCGATCTTTTTCTTGAATGACAGAAAGAACGCAAGGGGAACGAACCAAATCTTTATTAGTCAAAGAAGTGTATAGTCAAATGATTGTGGATCGAAAGGCACTTTATATGTGTTATGATTTAAATATGTGCAGCTCATGTCCAGATATCACTCTTGTTAATATGATGCCTGTAATGTTGAAATTAATGTTGTTGATATATATTGTGATGCTTTGTGGAGTTGTGGATATGTTGTTAGGACTGGTTTTGGTGATTCTCTGACAGGAGGATAGGCCCGAATACAGAGGAAACTCTGTCGAAATTTCTGAAAATTTTGGGAGTTAGTCAAATTTGGAAGTTTGAGATATGCGAAAAAGAAGAGACGTGTTATGTTAAGTATTTGGGGACGGACTCTACTCCTCATTCGAAGATGAATGATCCTAAGCGGGGAAGAATGTAAGGTCCCGTTAAAAATTTCCTAATGATTGAAGATTTTAAAGTGCGCCAACGGTATTTGGGAATAACGTGTTCGAGTATTAAAGGAGACCCATGGGATAGAACCACATTATTTTGAATTGAAAAATATATGTTTAAGGTGTGTTGAAACATACTAAGGAGTTTTGTGAATGGCAAGAATTCGTGTGGAATAAGTTGGATACATTAAGTGGAAAGGATGTCTTAATTCGCACAAGATCCTATTTCAAAAACATGTTGCTACCAAACTATAACGACTTAGGAGGTGATATACCTATCAACTTAAAGCCCTTTGAGTCTAGTTTCTAACACTTCAAACCGTTCGTCATTTGGACACTTCTACAAGAAGTTATGTTCCAATTCCCAAAGGCTGGAAGAATATGACCGTGCTATAACCCTCGTGAAGCCAGGTTTGTAGCGCGCTAGACCGTGCTATAACCCTCGCGAAGCCAAGTCTGTAGCGCGCTAGACCGTGCTATGTCCCTCGCGAAGTCTAGTCTGTAGCTCTCTACAGAGCTCGCGAAGCCTGGTCTGTAGCTCGCTATAGACCGTGCCTAGCCTAGTCTGTACCCCGGTCCGGATTTTTGAGCGACCGTTTTTCTAATTTCACAAACCCGACCCTAGTTCCTATAAAACGATCTTAGGGTCATTTTGGAGGGATAATCTGAAATTTTTAGAGAAGGGAAGGTGCCCTAAAGTGAGAGGAGGAATTCCTAAGCCCTTGTTCAGCAAATCTTGCTCAAGCCTTGAAATCCAACAAGAAATCCCTCAAGTTTTTTATCTAAGAGGTAAGGTTTCATACCCTAGTTTTCAATTTCGGATTTGGTTAGAAGATGGTTGATTAGGAGTATGATTCTTAGGTGTAAGAGTATTATTTATACATGCATGTACCAATAAGATTTATGGGAAGATTGTTGAGCTCAAATAAGTAAAGATTGGGTTGTGAAATGAAGGAAATCTTATAAAAGAACCTTGTAGTCAAATTTACACACCTAGTGTTTAATAAAGTGCTCAAATGAGCTGAAACCACGAATATCTTCCTAATTATAGTTCAATTTTGTTATGTCACAAAATAGATTGGGATTGCTAAGATTTTCAGAATGTCGTAGTAATTTAAGGAAAGCTCAAAGCGAGGTATGTTGACTAAACTACTCTCTTAGAATTGAATTCCATGATATTCCCGTAGGTTTCAAGTATGGTTGGCTCAAGTTCCTTATTCCCATATTCCGAGTTGTTTCCAATAAATTTGATTATCCCGAGTAAGCAAAGTGTTGAGAATTATGTATTCAAAATATGTTCCGAATGTTCCTATCATATTATGATATCCTTCGAGAATATGTTCAAGAATGATATATATGTGTATTAAAATGTTATGGTTTTGAGTAGTGTTTCAAATTAAAGTTATCATGCAAAATTATGGGATAAAAACTCGATGTGCTTAATACCCTTAATTGCTCATATGTGTACTTAAAGTCTTGGTTGGAAATGTCTTGTTGTTGTTAATGTATAAAGATGCTCGAAAGTGAAAGAAGTGAGTTGGTGATATAAATTGTGGCCATCGTGCCAAAGAATGAAATTTATACTTGTGTCCAATGGTGCGAATGAAATGAAATGATGTGATAAAGGTTAATGATCGGATACCATGCCGCACACATGGTGGTGATTGTGCTGGAAATTGTAATTGAAATTATGATTATGATTGATGTCTCAAATGAGACGGCCTAGCCGATCGGGTCGTGATCGGACTCCGTACTAAAAGTACAGTGGTATTGGTATTGTAAAAGGTGATATTGTGAAAAGTGGTAGATCGGTGCTAAAGATCTCCCAACCAAAAATATATATATTATTTTCGTATTTTGAAAATTGTTATGTTTTTACTTGGCATTTGGATATAATTGATTGTGACTTGATGTTTCTATGGTTTTCCCTTTCTTATATTGGCATTCTATTTTGAAAGTGGACAGTTAGCTTTACATACTAGTACTATTCCATATGTACTAACGTCCCTTTTACCGGGGGCGCTGCATCTTCAATTGATGCAGATACCGGGGGCGCTGCATCTTCAATTGATGCAGATGGTTCATCAACGGGCAGCTTTGGTCCTCGTTAGCAGTCACTCTCTATTCAGCAAGTTTTGGTGAGCCCTACTCTATTCCGGGCCTGATGTCATTTGAGTTATACGTTGTGTTTTAAGGTATAGCCTGGGCTTTATTGGTGACACTTCCATACTACTCTTCTATTGTACTTAGAGATTCCGTAGACAGGTTGTGGGTGGTGTTTGATGTGGGGAATTGAACTAGAAATGTTGGTATTTGGCAACCATATTTTTCATTATATCTATCAACTTGTAATATTTTAAAAATTATAAATGTAGCTGCTAATGAAAATGAAAATGGAGTTGTTAATAAATTTTTTTCAGTGTTTGATTAATGGAGTACATCTCCTCTTTATTCATGGATGAGTTTGGGTAGAAAGAAATCTAACAGGCTTGCTTAGCCGGGTTTACTCGGTTGAGCGCCGGTCACGCTCCCCGAGTTCGGAGCGTAACAATTAGAATAATAGTTAAATTTTTTATCGGTTGAAGAATGTCGTTGGATGAAATTATGTATAGCCATTGTAGTTGTAACTAGATAATTCTGAGTGTCAAACTTGAAAGATGACATTGAGCATAAAATAGAAATAATTTTAAATATATAAAATAAATCATAAAATAAATAGTTAAGTATGTTTAAACTAATTCAAAAAGAGTAACTAATTATTAACAACACATAATGTATAATTTAATTTTTTAAAATTTAAATTTAAAAAGAAACTAATTATTGCCTAACCTTACTAAATTTGTCCTAAATTGCCAATTGACCTATTGTGAGGTTGTCACTTGACTTAATGTGGATACATTTTCTTCTTCTTTTAATAATATATAGATAGATTATGCAATGCAATTGTAAATTTATTACCTATTTGTAGGTCATTTTCACAAATTAGATTTGATAACTGTTTTAAAGATTCGGAAACTAATAGCATATAATAGAAGAAATTATAAATGATTATTTGTAGGAAGAGAATTGATAATCCAAAGAAGGATGTAGATAATTTGCTTTAGTGTGAAAAAAGAAGAAGATAATTATGAAAGTTACAAGACATTACACAAAGAAAAAAAATTAAAAATAAGAAAAGTCAATAAAGAATTTGGAAAGTTACAATATGATTCATATATATAATATCTTTAATTTTAATAGAATGGTAAAAACTAGAAACAAATATAAAAAGAAAAAACTTAAATTAGTAAGGGATAATTTGAAAAATATAAATTTATGGTGAGGATAGTATTGTCATGAATAAATTAATTTTCTACTTCTGATTCTGTTTCTTGGAAGAAGTTAGAATTTTCTGCTTCTTCCCAAAAGCAGAACTGCTTCTTCTGCTGGCCAAAAGTACTTCTATGTATTGGCCAAACAACTCAAATTTTTTAAAAAGTAGTTTTTGGGGGAAAAAAAGTATTTTTGGCCTCCCAGAAGCTTGGCCAAACAGGCTCTAAGTTTGTTTCACAAACTTCTGAAAAGTTAGAAGAGCTTCCTTAAGAATACTTATTTTGGAGATTAAAATGTTTAGCAAAATTATTAGAGAAAGAAAGTAAGCGGAAGAAGTAGAAATTTGTAATTTATATTTGGAAGCAGAATTTTAAGAATAGAAATAAGCTTAATAAAAATTTACAGCTATTAAGTTATCTGTCTTTAATTCACCAATGTATCTCTTAATGTCTTATCTTGTCTGATCTTTCGTAATAATATCTAAAATAATTTATCTAAATAAATAATACTAATTAAAAATAAATTTATACATTCAAATACTATTTCTAAGGTCTGGTCAAATACAAATTATTTATCTTGATATTGAAAAACAAAAAAGGGCCTCAAATGTTTTAACCAACATAAATTGTATTTTTTCAAAGTACTCGTAAAATTTTATATTTAAAAAAAATGAAGGGATTTTCAAAGTTTGGTTAAATAGGCTATATCAAAAACAATTATAACGAAAGGTGTAACGAGAACAGGAACAGAGATCTGTGTCCTCTTTCTTCTGATTCACTGCCGCGCGCCCTACTCCACATCAGCCTACTTCATGTTTTCTTTTGGGTTTTTCTCCTGTTTTAGGATATGATATAATAAGAAATTCATCTTTGTATAGTCATTACTTAATGGATACTTATGTTTCTTTCTGGCTCTTGACTCCCTATTGTTTATCTGAAAATTTACAATTTTTGACTATTATATATTTACTTTTTCATAACCGTGGTGTCTGGGTCAACTTTCGTACAGATAGGAATTAATCACCTAATATTTTCTGTCTGTTGGGCTTTGAGCCTGAGACAATGATTATTAAATATTTTATCAGAAGAATGCCTAATTGTGACTTTTCGACTAATGTTGTATCAACAAGAACAACATATCCAGTGTAATCCACAACATATCCAGTGTAATCCACAAGTGGAATCTGGGAAGGATAGAGAGTACGCAACCTTATATTTACCTAGTGCAGATAGAAAGACTATTTTTGGTAGACCCTCGGCTCAAAGCAAGCATGCATAATCACATAGAGAAAAGATATGCGGTAGTGAAGAAGTCAAAGAAACAGTAACGATAATAAGATAATAGTGTAAGCAGTAAGCACGTAATTTTTGACCCGCCACATTCTCAAGCTACTCTAGTATTTTATACACATTTAGTCGAGTTTATTCTTCCTAGGATTTTAATTTATATTATCTTTATTTTTATTGTTTTAATATGTAAAAACCAAAAATAGAAAAATAGTCTTATTTATAATATTTCTCATCTTATTATATTTTTTCAATTTAAATTAAGGTCGATTAATATTTTTATAGTGATATTATTTTAATTCTACCATAACTTTAGCATATTTTCTCTACCTTTTTTACTTTATTATAATATTTAAAAATACAAAAAATAGTTTCACTTTTAATTTTTTATTTTTATTTTAACTAATTAGGAATGATTTAACAAGTATTTTATATTAATTTGGAAGAAAATTGGGTTTGTTAATGAATTTTCAGCTTTTCTTATCCAAAATTGAGCCCAATTTGGATCCCACCTTAGCCCATTAACCCCCGCAGCTGACCCTTTACCCAATCCCTAAAGACCCTTCTTCTACAAAAAAAAAGACGCACACACACACATAGAAGGGGACAACGGACATAGGAAAACAGAGGAGAGTAACATAGAGGGAAACGGAGAACAGGAGAAAGGGAATTCCTTTTCGGATTCCATTTTTTTTTAGCTCAAAATCAGACTTTCTTTTGACCTCTGCACATAGAGACGACAGAAGACATCACCGCACATTGAACCACCATTTCTCTGTCCCTGTTTTCGTTTGAGGTCGAATTTGGGTTTCCGTTCGAAGGAGACAAAGACGCCGATTCGGTTCAAGTTTTTCTTTTGATTCAAGTTCAGTTCGTCGACTGTGAGCTTGATTTTTGCTCCTTGATCTAAATCAAAGGAAAATTACTCTGTTTCGAGGTCCATTCTTGCTTTCACTATTATCTCATAAATTTTGTCTGATATGATTGTGCTTGCTTCCTTGTGTTGAAGTTGCTCATTACTAGATTTCCATTGCATTTTATAAGTGCAGAGAAGTTAATTTGATAAGTTGATTGATATTGAGACGTTACTTAGAATAGCCAAGATAACAAATTAAGGTTTAACTAGTGAAAAGACAAAATTCAAATGTGAGCTTTTGGAATTAATGGGCCGTGTTTACTGTAGTTTAAATTGGAAAGCAAGAATTGGGACTTTGAGAAGATTGAATTTGGGGCCGTGTGGTTTCGAATTTAGAAGCTTAAAAAGGGAATTACTTTAAGTGAGAAATTTAAATGATTATCTTGCTCTTATTTTAATTTTATTTACTTCTTCGTGACGTTAGGAGTATGCTTAGGCCGACCACATTTGGGTAGGCAAACTTTTAGGATATTTGTGTTTTAGTTTCTTTCGAGGTGAGAGGCCGCCCCCTTAGTTAATTAATTCATCCGAGGAATGCCTTGTAGAGTTTGTATATATATTTTTATACTCATCGGGGAATGCCATGAAGTAAATGTAAAAGAAGGCCGCGGCGACATCATCATGAAGGAAGCATTAGTATAGGCTAGCATAGGTTTTTTCTAGAACTTTTTCTTTCGTTTCGTTTAATTTTATTTTATTTAGGTGGGGACGACCTTGAACCTCTTTCGGTGTTCATTTTTCTTTTGTGTGTTTTTACCTCACTTTGAGTATTCTCTAAAGCCAACCAGATCAAGTATGCAACCGTACTAGTTACAGGACTCGGGGAATGCCTAACACCTTCTCCCCGAGTCAAATGAACCCCTTACTCAGAATCTATGGTGCAGTCAGTTTTAGAGTCGAATGTGTTTTGAAGGAAATTTGTTATTTTAAAAAATATGGTGACCTGGCACACTGAAATCAAATGTCAGGTGGCGACTCTGAAAAGTCATTCGAAACACAATCTTTTTGTCACTTTTCAAATTGAAAACCCTTTTGAGCTTTAAAAATCCTTTTATTCTTTTAAAGAGGGGTAGTAAGGTGAAAAAGGGGTGTGGCAAATAGTAAAATCGAAATGCAGCATTGTCAGATAGTAATAGAAATCGAACAATATGGAAATACGAGAATAACTCTACCACTACTAGGATAAAAGGAAGGACGCTCGACTCCCTACTTTACTTCTACCCCGATTCACGACTTCCACACTCTCATATCAAGGGTCATGTCCTCGTTAAGCTTAAGATGCGTCATGTCTTGACTAATGTTTATCTTATCATATGCTCTAATTGCTTAGGAAAAGTACTTTCTGTTTTCCCGTAATTGTAGTGATTTTTCATATGAATCTTTTGAAGAATTTTTCTCTGGGAAATAGCTTCCAAAGAACGTTTTTATTAGAATTATTTTCTGAAATAGTGTTGTAATGAAATCAAGATTTTTAGAATTCCACGAATGTTTCTTTTTCAGATTATCTCTCTCTAAAAGAATGTTTCTCTTTTCTTTAACGAATAATGAAATGCGTTTTGCCCCTTCGTAGAAAGAAATAGTTGTGACTCCTTGAACTCTCTCTTTCAGTATCTTAGGCTGCCTCCGTACCCTATTTAAATAGTTGCGACCTTACACTGAGTTTGTTTCTTGATCAGTTGCACTATCTTGGAGTTGCTCCCAGTTGCAACTATTACTTATTGCCGCAGTTTGCCATCGCTAAGCAATGTTACCGCCTTTTAAAGTTTTTATACAACATTTTGTGTAAATATTTGTAATACACACGTGTATTTATGCCGAAATTGGGTGATTGTCTGGCATTCTCTTTTCTTTATTCTTGGACAAAAGTCGCATAGGATGTCAGATCAAAGATTACAACCCTTAACTGTTTTTTCTCTTATCCTTTTTTCAGCTCTCATCTGTTAAATAGGTTCTTTGATGTCGGACCCTAAGGCTTCAGCAGATGAACACTATGTTTCCATTCCTCGCGGTGGCCCTATTTACATTTCCGACATGGTTGGTCCACTCACTAAGGTTGCTGACTTTGAGGTCAGCATCTTCCGTGAACTTGAGGTATGAAGTTGTTGTTCACATTTAGATTACAACGACACTCATTGTGATGTTCACTTTGAAGCTTGTCTACCTTTAATAGATTCCACGTTCATATGAAGACATACTTCTGTCATGAGTTTGTATGCAGAGCTCCCCTAGACCTTAAATAAACAAAAATTAAACATGAAAGAAAGAAGATAAAAGGCTTATTACAGATTTCATCATTTCTGATACCTTGATTATGGTCAGTATTCTAAGTATCTTATTCTGTTATGCAGCGGCTCAAGGCAGAGTTGTCCGTTGATTCACTTGAAATGTTTGATGATGAGATATCGTAAGTGCATCTTTTTTTGCTCCTCTTTGATACTAGAAAAGGAAAGAAAACTAAAATGTATCATATGTACCTGCCACTTACTTCTCTTGCATATCCTTTAACTATGGTGATTAATTTATTTTTTGAAATGCAATACTGCAAGTTTTTTGGTTAACTATGTCATGGATGTGGGAGCCGAGGGTCTATCGGAAATAGCCTCTCTACCCCTGGGTAGGGGTAAAGTTTGCGTCCACACTACCCTCCCCAAACCCTACATGTGGGATTATACTGGGTTGTTGTTGTTGTTGTTGTTGTTGTGTTATAGATGTGGGAGTAAAAATTGAAATAGGATTTCCTGGAAATATTTTGAGAGATTTCTCTAGCTTTTGTCGAGATCAGCTCTTTGTTTGTGCGTCTTTGGGTTTTCATTGCACATACAGATTCTTTTCCCTTTCCAAAGTTTGGGTTTTAGAATATTGCGCTCTGCTCCCAAGTTTCTTATTCAGACGGTAGATATCATTAAGTAACTGTTTAGAGTTTTTTTTAGATGGTTTGTATTTATCAATAACCCCTTGTTAGTAGGTTGTTTTTTAATTCTTTTTCATTTTTAAGTTATTTGTGGCAGCTGATAACTTGCAATCGGTTTTATTTTGGCAGCTGATAGTTATTTTATTTTTTCTTCACTTTAATTTTGTGGATGTACTTTAAAGAATATCAAAATTGATTATGTTTTTAATCCCATATCTACTCCCTACTACCAAAATAACTGCAGTGGTACTTATCCAAAAAAACATAGTAGCACTTAGTAGTTATTACATTTACTTTTCAAATTCAAACTTCGTTAAGATGGATTTCTGTATGGCTTGTTTCATAGGTTCTGACCGGTCTACTCGGATTTTCTGTAGAATTATCTGACTCTTGTCATTGATTGCCTTGTAGGGTTGAGGATCTTAAAACTTTCAGTGAAGAGGAATTGGTGGCTCAGGCCTTTGAAGAAGCATTTAAGGTACAGTAACATTCTTTTTAATTATAGGAAGCCATTCTAACAGTTAGCTTACAAGTCCTCACTAATCAGAAAAAAGTTCAGTTCACAAACTTTCACGTTCAAAAGAAAATAAATGGCCAGTTTGTTTACCAGATCTTCATGTGATGATGACAGGACGATGAGCTGACCAAAGAATCTTCACAAACTTTGACAGAGCACCTTGATACAAGGTTAGTGAAATGAATATTCTAGACCAAGACCCATTTTACTTATTTTTTGCAGTCTTTTTTTTTTTTCCTCTTTGCATTAGATGATGTATCCATAATTTTATGAAGTGTCCCCAATTCCAATTATGTGGCTCTTGATACTTGATTAGCTTGGAATCTTGGTTTCCTTTTGTTCCCGGTAGGGCTATACATGTGCAAATCTTATGCTATTTCAATAGCAAAGCAAGTTAAACAACTTTTAGTATTGAATATTTTTTTATTAAAGAAATAAATTAAGGAATAAAAAAGGGAGTAGCATGTTGTGTAAGAATTAGATTGCCGTGCTTTGCTAAGTAGTATTTAATGAGCATGTTGATATTCAAAAATTATTCTTGCATGTGTATATATCTATAGAAAAGGGGATGGAAAATTATTCTTTCTGCTTTTGACATTCTATGTATTAGTGTCATTGACAGGTTTTCCAACAAAAACAGTTATATCTTCAAGTTATCTCTTGATGTCAAAATGGTAGTTCCAACACCAATTAAACCTGATAAAACTATATTTCACTGTTCATCTATCCATTCACTTGTGCTTGTTTGCTGTTCTGCATGTGTTCCACACTCGTTTGCCTTAATCCTATATTTTTCATGACCTTTTTTACTAAAAACAGAAGAATAGATAACGGGACTTCGGTTACTGAACTTGCTTCATTTTGAAAGGTCAGAAAGAGAAGTGGACTCTTCTACTATTCATGATCCCTCAGACAATGTCGCCCTCGACAACAAAGGCTCAGATAAACGCAAGTCCAACAAGAGGAAGCGGGGGAAGAATGTTCGTCAGAAGAATGCTGTTGATGTATGCTAGTGAGCTTTTCTGTTATACATCTGTTTTAGTGTTCTATTTTCTGTTGTATTAAGTCTTTGTTTGGTTCTTAGTGATTTGAGTTTCTGTTTACGGTTTACCTACTAAAAATAAAGTTATGTCCTATTCTATCATGGATATGGTCGAGAGTTCTGTATAGTTATACTATGCCACAGCTGGCACTATTAGATCACTTGAATGGGTAATCTTGCTTTTATTTTTTTTCGTACTGATGATCTAGTTAAGATGTATCGGAGTAAATCAAATGTTCAGGCTTATTTTTGCCCTTTTAATCTCTTAAGAATTTACTTTCCAAATTAGACCTATAGGCGTTTGTCATAGATCGTAAAGAAGTGGTAGTATGAAAACTGAAAGGTGAAATCTTAATAATACCGACTTCAGAAGTGTTGGATCATGAATGGAAGCTCCTCCAGCTAATCATTGAAAAAAGCCTCCAAAACTCAAAGAAATCTACTATTTTATCCTATTAGTCCTAGTTGCACATATTCCAACTGGTTGAAAATGAGAGATCTGATCAAAAGTGTAGCAATACCTTTTTGGAAAAGAGAAGGTAATAGTTGAGCAAGATAAAAGTATGGAGGAAAAAAGTAAATGACGAACATAATTTGGCTTGTAAAAGCTGCCAGTTCATTTAGTTACATCCTAATATATTTTTGTTCATCAACATTGTGTTTGCGCATTATTTCCCCATTTTCTTTGTCCTCACTGTTTCAATTTAAGTATTTAAAAAAAATATGAGTTCATATTCTTGCATTTTGTAGGAAGACTATGTTCTGAAGGTGGAACAACTTGCAAAAATTAAAGAAAAACAAGAGGAAGAGAAAGCAGCAGCAAGATTGCATTCTTTCAAGTACAGATCATCGTCTCTAGTTGATATGTTTTTATTTATGACTAAACCAGCCTGTTATATCCATTGTTTATATTTTCATATCTTGTGTTCTCCATCTTAGCTATATTTTTTATATTGGTTCAGTGGTAGTTGCGGCAGCAGCCACTCTGCTTCAACATCTTCCAGTAAGAGTGGGAGAATGACATCACTCAAGTCAATAAGTTCGGGAACAAAGGTTAGTTTAGAATGACTTCCTAAGACCTTGATTCCTATCTACTGTATGACCTGGGTTTTAGATGAGTCTAGAATTTAAAAGGTCTGGAGCAAGTTTAAATTTAGATTAAAACTTGTTTAGGCTGTTTAAAAAATTTAATGACTCGTATCTTTTGCCTATATTTGAAGGAGAGGTCTTCTGGTCTATTAAGAGATATAATTGAACAGTTCTCCCCCACCATATAATCTCCGTGGTGGATATTTGTGAAAAGTCCTGTTTATGGACTATAGATACTTGTTCTTTGCTGGGAGAGCACCTTTTCTATGTTGTCATTTTTGTGGGTATGGAGTTGGGTGAGGTAGGTGGTTTAATGAATTATACCTCTTATTAATTTTACTGGAAATTTGTATTTTATGTATTTGCAAGGAAAATTGCTTCTTCCATTTCTCGATTAGATTGATATATCAGATCTACTTTGAACTATTAACCATTAAAATTAAGGAATTGGTCAAATTTATTTGATAATCAATAGCTTCAAGAAGAACATCTATGAAGATGGATTACTACAGGTATATTGAGTGTCAAACAAAGGTCCGCGAATCATCTCAATTTAAAATTTTACTTTCAGAACTCTTTTAGAATTTATATCTTTATTTGAATAGTTTTAGAAAAAGGATGAAAAGAGTACATTCTTACTATACTTGAGAGGATATGGATAATCTGATATACAACGTTGCAACCTCATTTTCCATCCATGCAAATGCTCTCTTCCAGAGTATCCACTTAAAGTGCCTAAGGTGTTTATGAAAATAACAATTAAAGAGATTGTTTAAAAGAATATACTCCCTTTGTGTCAATTTAGATGACACATTTCGCTTATCAAGAGTCAAACTATGTGAAGTTTGACCAACATTTTAAAATATATTTTTTTAAACATATTGACAAAAGAAAAATTGTAACTTGTATAGTAGTATTTCTCGTATAGTTTGTGATTATCTAAATTTTAATTTTAAAATATTGACTTGAACTAATTCAATTTAGCTTCAAAGTTTAGTCAAACTGACTCTCCATGAGGGAAATATGTCATCTAAATTGAAACAGAGGGAGTAGTTACTAATTGGATTTAGAAGTGTAGTACTAATTAGCAAATCTTTTTTAAATTATTTTTATTGTAAAATGATTTTGTTAACAATGAATTTCTTATATAAGCCGTATACCAAAAAGTAGAGAGCTTCCACAAAAATATGGTTCCCTAATCCGCAAATGTTCTATACAGACTGGAACCTCATGAGTGCACCAAAACAAAACTAAAAGAGGATATTCCTCATATGTACAAAGTCAGTCTCTGTGCTGTCAAAGGCATTCTTACCCCTCTCTCCATAGGACACACACAAGTGCAATTGGAGCAACATATGATACCTTGTGTCTACTTTTTTTCTTTTTTGATGAGGTAAAATTTTATTAACAAAAGGTACCAAGATGGTACAAAATTACAAACAACCAGCAGCTACCACAACAGGGCAATTACATTCCTCCTAACTCTACTAGAACAACCATATACTGTTCCATATTTTCCATAGCATACTTCTTACACCAGAAAAATAAATTTAAGAAACAACTATTTTTAATCCTGGAAATATGCTGCCTTTCCCCTTCAGAGCAAATCTTGTTTCTTTCCAACCATATTGTCTAAGAGCTTTGTTCTACATAATATCTGTTGATTTTTGCTATTTTTTGGTGTTGCCAAGTCTCCAACCTACTCCTGACATTGGAGGGCATCACCCACTTGACATCATACATATTTAAGAGCTCCCAACACTGTCTTGGCACTTTGCAATGAATGAATAGATGACTTACTGTTTCTGCTTCTTCTTCACACATGTAACACCTGTTACATAGAATAGTTCCTCTCTTCTGCTAGTTCTCCTGAGTTAAACAAGCTCCCTTTGCTGCAACCCAACCAAAACAAACTACTTTAACAGGTGCTTTTGATTTCCATATTGCTTTCCATGGCTAATCTGATTGATAAAGCCCCTGTTGTTTTTGTAGCAGACTGTAACAACTCCTGACTGTGAAAGTACCATCTTTGCTTGCTGCCCAGATCAATGAGTCTTTCTTGTTGTCCTCCAATCTAACCATGTTCAGTAGCTACATCAGTGGAGCAAATTCATCAACTTCCCAGACATTAAGACCCCTCCTGAAGATCAGCTGCCAACTAGTATTCGAGTAAAAGTCTGATACCCTTCCATTTTTGTTTGTGGAGCAGCTATACAAAACAGCGATTTTTAATCTAAAACTTTCACTTCCCAACTATATATCAGACCAAAATTGGGTATTATTACCATTCCCCAGTTTCAACTTTACCAACTGACTGTATTTGTTCCATAAATTACTGATTGTGCACCAGACTCCCCCCTTTGCAGAAGAATGAACTGAACAAGCAGCCGGCATGTCCTTCCTACCATACTTGGCATCTCTCAGCTGTTTCAATAATCTGTTGCTATCATCATCAGCAACCCGTGCCTAAAGGCGAAACTATAATCTTAAAGGTAATTTGCCTTCCTAACATCTTCAAATAGGAAGACAAATTACCTTTAACATTATAGTTTCGCCAGTAGGCCCGTCTCAGGAGAAGCAGACAAAGAAAATATATATCTTGTGTCTTCTCCTCCTTCTCTACGCCCAACTATGCAGCGGCTCATTCACTATACCTGAAATCATCACTGTACTCCAATCAACTAACAATTCCCACCACAAATGGCTTGCCGCCTTGCAGTGTAACAGAATGTGGTAATCAATGCTTCTCTTAATGAAAGCCGTATTTTTGACATTGTTAAATAATAGTAATCTGCATGTTTGCACTGTCTTAATATTCGTATTAAACAGTCCTTATTACCTAAAGAACAACTCATTACCTAAACATAAACCTTTTGAATTTTATGTAAGCAAAGATCATCGGGTAAAAACATACCCGAACAGGGAATTTACACCAAACCAACAGAAGCGTGACATTTGTTTACACATAGAGTTCTATCACTTAATCATGGTTAATTAATGCATGTATTTTATTATTTTAGCTAACAATAATAAGTTTAATTGGTTTGGTGTAAACACCCAGTGCAGGTAAGTATTCACCCATATCAATGTACTTGCATACATTGTAAATCCACAGTATATCTATGCAACGGCATCGTGACCTTTCTAGTATCGCTTTTTATAGAAACTGAAGTAATTTTATTGCATTTGTAATCTGAATTACATGTACATAACACTTTTGATAGTTTAGTCTTTCTGTGATCTTAGATCTAAACCAATGATGGTTTATTGATTTTCATGCTTGGTTTTGGTTTATGGCAGGTGAGGGCAGCAAATGCTCATGGACATATTGCAGTGCATTTTCCAGAAGTTGTCCTCTGTATTGAGGTTTATCATTACAAAAAGACATGGGTAAAAGTATGAACATGCTCTTCGTTGTTATCTCTGAACTGCTGATGAAATGAAGTTATAAATTATTAACTATCAAGATGCTCTTTGTTCCTCTCTCTGTTGCAATTTGCAACAGTATGTTTGAGACCTTCTCAGGGTGATAAAATAGAAGGCTTTTCTGCTAGGTTATAGCTTATTCATGGGCTTATCACTTTTAAATTATTAACTGAAATAAGTAAATTCAAATACAACCTCCCATTCATGCTCCAGTCTTTGCAACCTGTTGAAAAAAAAACTGTTGTGTGTGTTTGGATTCATGAAGGTAATCACTTGGGTGTTCTCCGCACCCACTTTTTTGCTGTTCTCCTTTCAATCTGGTATCAGAGGACTTTATTCCTGGAGTGATGGGAGTTAAAACCATGTCAAATACACTGTCCAGCATCCCCATTATTTTGCTGTTGTGTATGTTTTGATCAATCTATTATGCATTTTGCATCTTTTAACTATTCTGGCCGGCTGCCATAGTATTGAAACAACATAGTTGACCTTGTTGAGATGATCAAAGATCTTCCTATTGGTACTGTTTTTTTTTTCCGGTAACAACTTTACAATCTATCTGATTGTTACAACTGATTCTGATGATATATATCTGTAGACGCAAGAATTTCTGGTCCTTGGGCGACAATTTTTGACGGAAATGAGAGACAAGATATATTGTATTACTGATGAGATAATGAAGAACACAGGCCAGAATGATCCTTCGGGCTATTTCCTTGTGGAGGTTACTTTTCTGGCCAATTTTATTTTCTAATGATATATATATCATTTTCTTCTGTTCCTTACTATTTTCTTATCACTAACCTAAAAATTTTCCATAGGATGTCTTTTGCAATGATTTTAGGCATCCTGCTGCTGTAAATTATAGTAAGCCAATACTTAATTGGCTTCAAGATTCTAAGAGTGAGGCGCTGGAAAAATGGGAATCTATCGCCTCTGGTGAACTGCCACAGAAACAAAAGGCACTTTTAGGCAGTAAAATTGGACCACAATTGCCCCATTTCAAGACCGCTAAAATGCAAGTAACTCGTTTCTGTGACTTAAGATTTCGACTTGGTTCTGGATATCTTTATTGTCACCAGGTAATATTTCTTTTTCAATGTATTTTGTTTTTTTCCCACTTGTGAGATTACCTTGGGTTTGTTGTTGTTGTATTTTGTTTTTCTGTTGCTCAGGGGAATTGTTCATTTTTAATTCAAATTAATATTTAGTTGTTTATGTGGTCTAAAGAAAGGATTTATGGTTGTATATTTTTTAGGTAGGAATTTGTAGTTGTATTAATGGGAGCACTTCTTATTAATTATTCTTTGTCTGGTCTAATTTAAGTCCTCTATTGTTTCTCTTTTTTTTTGATAAGGTGAAGACTTTATTAAAAACAGTATCAAAAAATACAGAGATACTGCTGGCTTAAAAACATTAAAATCCTAAGCGTTCTAGCATGTCCAGCATAGCATGAAAATTCATAACAACATTTCCATCTTTCCAATAACACAAATAATGTAAACAACTGTATTTCACATATTGCAGCTGCTCCTTCTTGCCTTCAAAACACCTATTATTTCTTTCTTTCCATATCGTCCAAGCTATGCTAAGAGGGATATCTCTCCAAATCTTCTTTAAGGATGCTTCTGGACATGCAGGTTCCCAGCACTCTAATATATTCCTGAATTTCTTAGGCTTGCCCAAAGGATGCCAAAGTTAGCCGTGAACATGGACCACACCTGCCAAGTAAATTCACAACGCAAAAAAAGATGGTCCACAGATTCACAAGCTTTCTCACACAAGTAACACCTGCTGCACATTATCCAACCCCTTCTCATCAAATTTTCTTGAGTCAGGCATGCTTCATGTGCTACTAGCCAGCCAATACAGGCCACTTTTGTTGGGACTGTAGTCTTCCAGATCATCTTCCAAGGCCACTTTTGTGCTTGCACCGGCTGGGTAGCATTTAGTAACAGTAAAAGAACCTTTTTTACTAGCTTTCCAGAGTAGGCTGTCTTCTTTTTCTGGCCATAACACCACTGATTGCATCATCTGAATAAATATATCAACCTCATGCATTTCTCTGTCGCAGAGATTCCTTCTGAACTGGAAGTCCCAACCTGTATCAGTAAATATATCAGCTAAGAGGATTTTTGGATTATTGGCCAATCTGTACAGGTTGGGAAATTGAATTTTCAGCAGACCAGAACCATCCCAATTATCTTCCCAAAGTCTGATTTTTTTTCCGTTGCCCACCCTCAAGCCAACATACATGTTAAATTTCTCCCATAGGTTACAAATCTGTCTCCAAACAGCTACTCCATATGGAGTCTTCACTGTTTTAGGTGCAAAAAAGCCCTCTTCCATATATCACCTCTACCACTGCTTTCCAGGGAGCTTTTTTCCCATCGTTTAACCTCCATAGCCATTTGCATAGCAGGCTCTGAGCTCTAAGATTTCTAACTCCCAGACCCCTTCTTTCTTATGTTTTGTCACAATGCTCCACTTTACTAAATGATATTTTCTCCTTTCTGCATCACCTTTCCCTATTACTTAATGTTTCATTTAAATTTTATACACTGGATTTAGATTAGTTACCACTTTTATCAAGTTACCAAGTAGTAATATATATCATTGAGATCTTTCTGTACATACCTTAAACTGACTTGGTTTGGTAAATATCTCTTTCACCGTTAAACTCATTCATGTTTGCATGAACTACACTATATATATAGATGTTGCTTGACGGCTTTGTGTCTGTTTTGCCTTGTATAAGGGGGATTGCAAGCATCAAGTTGTAATAAGAGACATGAGGTTGATACATCCAGAGGACGTACAGAACCGAGCCGCTTATCCATTGATCACCTTTCAGCCGAAGTTGCGGTTCCAGAAATGCTCTGTTTGCAAGATTTTTAAAGCAGTTAAGGTGACAGTTGATGATAAATGGGCTGCTGAAAATCCTTGCTACTTTTGTGACCTTTGCTATTACATGCTCCACTATGTAAACGGGTCTCTGCTTTACGATGATTTCTCTGTGTATGAATATCTCCATGAGTAACTTTAAATTAGAAGAGCTGACGTGTGGGTTAGGTGCATGTCACGGGTTCCAACCCTGCCGCTAACAACACTGGTATTTAAGTGGAGAAGAATAGAGGACGGCCAAATCCAGACGTTGCTCAGGACTCTGCAAGCAGTATTCAGTTTCACACAGATATGCAAGTTCAAGCCAAAGAATGTATATATGCAAGTTCGAAGTTTCACACAGATAATAAATACTATCATCCAATTTATGGAAAATAGGTTTCAGTTTCTCTTTGTTTATTGTTTTCAGAACTGTTTGTTCAGAGTTCAACTACAGATTCTATCCTCTAACGTTATACCAAATTAAAATATTAACTACTGCACTGGTCTGTTTGGTTTATCCTTTTCTTAGGTGAATATTTTTGGAAGTTGAAAGTAGTGGTATCGAGAAACGGGAATGGAAAAGCTTTAGTGAAAAAATTGAACATGTATTTCAGATGTGAGATTGTAACGTTTTCGTTGAATTATTACTTAATTGCATATCTTATAAATCCCTTTATAGCAAAAGTACAGCATTCCTTCTTTTTTTTTTTTTGGGTTAAACAGACATTTTTATTCGGAGAAGGGTCTTATTTGCCGCTAAACTATCAGATTTGGTCTAAAATTATCCCCATCCATCTATTGAGCTAAATATGACCTTCCCGATAATGTTTGAGCTCACATCTGCCCTATAGATAACAGCCCAGATCCGGTTTAAAAATAATATTATTTTAAATGATATGTCATTAAACTATTGATTGATTTAAAACCCATTCAAAATATGTCCAACCCACCCATTCTACTCGACCCATCAGACCTTACCCATTAAACTCACTCAATCGATAATTCCTAGAAAATTGAACTACCTCTTAAACCAGAATAAGGTGAACACTTCAATTACTGTTTTCTTATAGTGGACTTGACTTGATTAAGCTAGAAGTAGCATATACATTAGATATGCAGAAATGCAATAAAAAATATGAGGGAGTTGGTCAATTGGACAGAATCACACAAAAGAGAGACACAAACAAATCTTGCACGGGAGACCGACGGATGTCTCACCACGAGTTGGATCCAGAATTTGAAGTTTATGATTTTTTATAGCGACCTCAAGTTAATTTATACATTAAATGATTAGGTACACAATCAAATATTTATAAATATTTAAGAAATTTCTAATCATATATGTGCATAGGATCTTGACAAATGTATTCCAACCGATTTGCCAACCACGAGTTTGACAGAAACAATATTTTGGGTGTGCGAAAATAAAAAATAAAAATATTTATATATACATTTCAAAATTCTAATCCATTACTTGCATGTCATGAAATCATATATAGAAGCCATAATGAGAGGAATAATGACTCTCCTTAAAATAATCCATTAGTATGTTAAATGACGTGGAATAAGAAATAGCTTTTGGGTCTAGAAATTATCGATTGAGTTAGAGTTAAATGGGTAAGGTCTGATGGGTCGAGTAGAATGGGTGAGTTGGACATATTTTGGGTGGGTTTTAAATCAACCAATAGTTTAATGCCACGTCATTTAAAATAATATTATTTTTAAACCGGATCTGGGTTGTTAACTATAGGGCAGTTGTGAGCCCAAACATTAACGGGATGTCATATTTAGCTCAATAGGTGAATGAGGGGCAATTTTAGATCAAATCCGATAGTTTAGGGGCAATTCATGCCCTTTTCCGTTTTTTATTTAACCAAGTATAAGTATGTACAACCGCTAGCTCATTTGGACTCTAGAGCTAGACCAAAGAAATAAATCAAAGAAACAATTCCTTATCTATCCACAACTCTTATCCTTACTATCTCTACATGTATTCTATCCATAGCTAGACAGAAAAATTGTTTAATCTTTCTAAATCCTTGTGCTATTTGGATTTATTTTGCCCTCTGAGGTATAATTCCAGTACAATATCTTTAATCCTCTGTGTGCTTGATATCATCTTTCCTTAAAATCTTCGTTGGTTTTTCTCAGCCCAGATATGGTAAACCACAGCTACAAACAGAAAGCCTAGTATGTGAGCTCGAACTCTGCATGTATAATTTTTCGTTAGCCATTCAATCTTCTCATTCCAGCTTTCAATTTGGTGTCTTTCTCCCATCCATTGTAGAAATGACGATATAGTTCTGGAGTAATCACATTCAAACAACAGATGTTCCGTTGTCTCCTCATTATTCTTCCCAAATAGCACACAATCACTTGATATTGACAACCCTCACTTCCTTAGTCGATCCACTGTGGCTAACCTTCGATGCAGAGCCAACCAAAGAATGAACTGATGTCTTGGTAATACTTTTGATCCGACAATAATTCTTTTCCAAGGACGCTTTGGGTATTGATGCATTGATGCAACATACAACTTCTTAATACTGAACTTCCCATGCAGATAGTATTTGTTCAGATCAGAAGAAGGGTCCTTTTGGAGTAATCATTCCCTAGTATCAAATATTTTCCTAACTAGCCAACAAGCCTGCTTTGGAGTGTTCATAGTCATACAATTCTGCTCTTTGATGTAGAAGCTGCGGATCCATTGAATCTACAAAGTATCTTTTTTTGCATTGACGGCCCATAGCAGCTTACATAATGCAGCTTTGTTCCATGAGTATATATCAATAACTTTTGGTCCTCCAGCTGATAGTGGCATACAAATCTTATCCCAAGCTATAAGTGCTCTCCTAGATGTGTCACTGCTCCCAGTCCATAGGAATGTTCTGCAAGCAGTAACAATTAGCTTAGTTATCTTCTTTGGCAATAAGAACACATACGCCCAATATGCATGCATTTCAAATATTACACTCTTGATCAACTGTAGTCGACCACTATATGAGAGAAATCCGGCAGTCCAACAGCTGAGTCGTGCAATATCCTTTCAATAAATGGCATGCATTGCTAGACAGATAGTTTCTTAGAGGATAAGAGAACTCTAAGGTACTTGAATGGCAGCTCCCCTAGTGTGAATTACATTTCAGCTAGAATCAGCTCTTTGAACTCCCCAGGGACCCAGCAGTATACAAAGCACTCTTTTTCATATTTGCTTTAAGACCTGATACCTCAGAGAAATGACGAAATATTTCCAGAAGCAAGCATATGGAGATCTTGTCTGCACTGCAACACAAAATCAAGTCATCAACAAAACATATACTCCCTCCGTTTCAATTTATGTGCCTTTTTAGTTCGTGCCAAAAGAATGACCTCTTTCCTTATTTGGAAATAATTTACTTTTATGTATTGATTTATAACCACACAAAATATATGTGCCTCATTTTACACCACAAGTTCAAAAGTCTTCTCTCTTTTCTTAAACTTGAGTATGAGTTATGTTTTTTTCTGGAGCACCTTGGGTGGTAGTTGAAGTCCGGATATACTTTAATGTCTTCAATAATTTATTGAGGTACTCCATCACCAATACAAATGGGTAAGGAGACATTGGGTCTCCCTGCCTTAACCCCTTCTTAGCTTGAAATTTGATAGTCAGTCCTCCATTCAATAGTAAAAAATAGCTGACAGTCGTTATACACTCCATCACTATCTGAACAAACTTCATAGGCATTCCAAATTCCAGTAAGATCATTTTGAGGAATAGCCATTCAACTGAGTCATATGCTTTGCTTATGTCCACCTTGATTAAGCACCTCGGGGAGACCCCTTTTTGAGTATATCCTTTGACCACTTGCAATGATGACATTGTCCAATATGTTCTTGCCTTCAATGAAAGCTAGCTAAGAGCAACTCCAACCTTGTTGGGGATTTTTCCATTTTTGGGGACAAAAATAGGAAAATTTTACTCCAACCCTCCCCCATTTTTGTCCCCAAAATGGGGAGTGAATAGTGTCTCCCCAAATTTGGGGACACACTATTCATCTCCCCATTTACTATTTTTCATTAAAATATTATTATTTTTATTATTTAATCTTTTAATTTATCTTTTTATATATACTTAATTATGTTTATATAATATATTTACCTAATTAATTTTTCATCTTAACTTTGACGTATAATTTTAAAAAATTAATTATCGTGCATCTATTTTTTTTTATGTAAAATTGGTGGTTAATTTTATTATGAGTTATAATTGTATGAAAAAGATATAACCATCACAAAAAATGAAAGGTGCAAATATAAAATATTTGATATTGCTCCATGATATAATGACTACATGTATTATACTGCACAATATGATAATCGAGAATGAGCATGATCTTAATGCACCAATTCAAGATGATTTGGAAGGTCCACATCCAACAGTAAAAATGGCAGTAGATGAAAATCAACGATTTCAAGAATTTTTAGCTCGACATAGAAGAATTAAGGACAAAGATGCTCATTTTGTACTTCGTAATGCATTAATAGATCATTCATGGGAGAATACTAGAGGTTGAAGTTGAATATTTATGTAGTATTTCGAATGAATTTTATTGTTATGTAATATGTATTTAATTAATCTTGTATCGCAATGATTTCACTTTTATTTGAATTATTAGTTAATCTATAATAATTGCTTACAAATTATATTATTTAAAATTTTATGGAATTGTTTTAATGAAAATTATAAATTAATGAAAATAAAAGATGGAATTTGTTTAATGAAAATTAAAAAATAAAATTGAAATGAAAGATAATAATAAATATAGAAAAGAGAGAAGAATATAAAAAAAATATTCTCTTTTGGGGAAAAAAATAGGGAAATGGTTGGAGTAAGTTGTCCCAAAATGGAAAAATACCAAAATGGGAGTAAAGGTTCGAGATGCCCCAAGAAGGTCCAACAATGTAGTCCACAACAATTTTTAATTTTGCTGTTATGATCTTTGCAATGAGTTTATAAAGGGTAGAACAACATGCTATAGGTCAAAATTCAACATCACTTTTCACATATATAGTTTACTAACTAAAATTTAATGATAGTAAATCCAAACATTTGAAATCATGACTCTGCAAGCAGGCCAGTCAAAAATAATTATATTTGTTAGTCAAATAAATAAAAATTATGTACTGATTATGTTTATAATAAATATATTATATATTAATATATATATATAAAAAAATATATATATTATCAGCTATTATTTTTGCGAGCGTACTTTTCCCTAAACAAACTATTTAGGGTATGTTTAGTAATACAAAAAACATTTCTAAAATTCTGGTATTTAATTGCTCCACCAAAATCTCCATTCTCAACGTTATGTCATTATTTTAACTATCACTTAAATATTATTATTATTATTATTATTATTATTATTATTATTATTATTATTATTATTTAATACTCAGAATACTATCAGGTTATTTCTGAAAATGTCCAACTAATTACCGAAAAATAATTTCCAAGAAAATATTTTTCAAAAATAGGAGTAAGACGTTTTCTGAAATATTTTTTAAAAAATAACTTGTGTTGTATCAAACACACCATAGACATGTTGTAGATAATTTTTTTGAAATATTAATTAAAAAACATTTACAAATTTCTGAGTCCACAAG